GCCCCGTGACCTCCTGCCAGCGGGCGTTCGACACTTCACGTGGCCTCAGGGTGCACATAGCCTGGCACAAGCGTCGTGGTGACGTCACCGCCACTTGGTGGCGAATGGCGGTTGTTGTTGTTGTCACTGTGTGTCACTGTGTGTGTCACTGTGTGTGTGTCACTGTGTGTGTGTGTCTGTGTGTGTCTGTCTGTGTGTTGTGTGGAGCGGTAGTGTAGCGGTTAGCGCTACGCCGCGCTATGAACCTGGCGACCCGGGTACGATTCCCGCTCACGGCCACCAACACCAGTGACGATTATCTGAACCGGTCCCGGGCCTCCCCTAGGTCGACTCAGCCTCAAATGAGTACCTGGTGCGGTGTGCAGTAAACATTGCCACTGGGGAGACAAAGGCGGTCGGGCGTGGTGCTGGCCACCCACCCCCTCGTGTACCGATCCGGCCTTCATAGCTGGTGCTTGCTAACAGCACTTGCCCCTACAGTCTGTTAAGGCTATATGGGGGATCTTTATCTTTGTGGGTCACAGTCGTGAGAATCGCTTGTGACGATTACTTAACCGATTCCAGTTTGTTCGTTTACAAGACAGAATCGATTCATAGCCATTTGGATCGATTCCCCTTAGCCCAGCAAATTGAAATGGGAAGGAATTCGTCGATTCCAGCGTTGATTCTTACCTTTCCGATTCCTCCGCTGACGCGCGCGATTATTCACGGAATCGATTCCGTGAGTGATGTCATCTCATAAATTAGTATACACTTAACATCTCATTACCATATACTTAACATGTCATTAACATCTCATTCGGCGCGCACGCGTGCGATCAACAGACTCCACGCGTGATCATCATTAGCATTTAATTGGCATGTACTTAGCATGTAATTAGCATGTTACCGTCAAACGTGATACACATTAAAATGTCGAGTTGGTGAGTGAATGGGTGAGTTGATGAGTGAGTTGGTGAGCTGGTGAGTGGGTGAGCGAGTTGGTGAGTGCATGGGTGAGTTGGTGAGTGGCTGAGCGAGTTGGTGAGTTGGTGAGCTGGTGAGTGGGTGTGCGAGTGGGTTAGTTGGTTGGTGAGCGAGTTGGTGAGAAAGTTTAGTTGGTTGGTAAGCGAGTGGGTGAGTTGGTGAGCGAGTGGGTAAGCGAGTTGGTTGGCGAGCGAGTGGGTGAGCGATTTGGTGAGTGGCTGAGCGAGTTGATGAGTTGGTGAGCAAGTTGGTGCGTGGGTGAGTGAATGGCTGAGTTGGTTGGTGAGCGAGTGGATGAGTTGGTGAGTGGGTGGGTGAGCGATTTGGTGAGTGGCTGAGGGAGTTGTTGAGTTGGTGAGCTGGTGAGTGGGTTAGTTGGTTGGTGAGCCAGTGGGTGAGTGGGTGAGCGAGTGGGTGAGCGAGTGGATGAGTTGGTTGGTGAGCAAGTGGGTGGGTTGGTGAGCGAGTGGGTGAGTTGGTGAGCGAGTTGGTGAATGGCTGAGCGAGTTGGTGAGCAAGTTGGTGAGTGGCTGAGCGAGTTGGTGAGCGAGTTGGTGAGTGGCTGAGCGAGTGAGTGGATGAGCGAGTTGGTGAGCGAGTTCGTGAGTGGCTGAGCGAGTTGGTGAGTGGCTGAGCGAGTTGGCGAGTGGCTGAGCGAGTTGGTGAGTGGCTGAGCGAGTTGGTGAGTGGCTGAGCGAGTTGGTGAGCGAGTAGGTGAGTGGCTGAGCGAGTTGGTGAGCGAGTTGGTGAGTGGCTGAGCGAGTTGGTGAGCGAGTTGGTGAGAAAGTTGTTGAGTTGGTTGGTGAGCGAGTGGGTGAGCGAGTGGATGCGTTGGTGAGTGAGTGGGTGAGCGATTTGGTGAGTGGCTGAGCGAGTTCAGTTGGTGAGCTGGTGAGTGGGTGAGCAGGTTGGTGAGCGAGTTGGTTGGTGAGCGAGTTGGTGAATGGCTGAGCGAGTTGGTGAGCGAGTTGGTGAGTGGCTGAGCGAGTTGGTGAGTGGCTGAGTGAGTGGATGAGCGAGTTGGTGAGTGGCTGAGCGAGTTGGTGAGTGGCTGAGCGAGTTGGTGAGTGGCTGAGCGAGTTGGTGAGTGGCTGAGCGAGTTGGTGAGTGGCTGAGCGAGTTGGCGAGTGGCTGAGCGAACTGGCGAATGGCTGAGCGAGTTGGTGAGTGGCTGCGCGAGTTGGTGAGCGAGTTGGTGAGCGAGTTGGTGAGTGGCTGAGCGAGTTGGTGAGTGGCTGAGCGAGTGAGTGGATGAGCGAGTTGGTGAGCGAGTTGGTGAGCGGCTGAGCGAGTTGGTGAGCGAGTTGGTGAGTGGTGGTACTGTAAACGGACCAGCTTCTCTGTACAACACTGGCCTAAAATGCACCACACTCACCACTCACTCACCACACTCGCTCACCGCTCACCACTCGCTCACCCTGCTTGTCTGTATGACACAGTGAGTAGGCAGGTGAGTGAGTAGGTGAGTGGGTGAGTGAGTGAGTAGGTGAGTGGGTGAGTGAGTGGGTGAGTAGGTGAGTGAGTAGGTGAGTAAGTAGGTGAGTGAGTGAGGTGTTTGTGATCGCGAAGGAATAGCCGGTTTTTCTGTATCACACCGGTGTAGTGAGTGAGTAGGTGAGTGAGTGATTGAGTAGGTGAGTGAGTAGGCGAGTGAGTAGGTGAGTAGGTGAGTGAGTGAGTAGGTGAGTGAGTAGGTGAGTGGGTGGGTGAGTGGGTGGGTGAGTAGGTGAGTGAGTAGGTGAGTGGGTGAGGTGTTTGCGATCGCGAAGGTAAAGCCGGCTTTTCTGTATCACACCGGTGTAGTGAGTGAGGGGGTGAGCGAGTGTGAGTGAGTGTGAGTGAGGGGGTGAGCGAGTGAGTGAGTGTGTGAGTGAGTGGGTGTGAGTGGGTGTCAGTGAGTGTGAGTGAGAGTGAGTGAGTGACACAGTGAGTGAGTGACACAGTGAGTGTGAGTGTGTAAAGTGCTTTAAGAGTGTTTCAGATGGCATTTGACCGGCTTTTCTGTATCACACCGGAGTAGTGGGTGGGTGAGTTGGTGGGTGAGTGAGTGGGTGGATGAGTGGGTGGGTGAGTGAGGGTGAGTGAGTGAGTGGGTGAGTGAGTGGGTGGGTGAGTGGGTGGGTGGGTGAGTGAGTGGGTGGGAGAGTGAGTGAGTGGGTGGGTTGGTGAGTGAGTGGGTGGGAGAGTGGGTGAGTAGGTGAGTGAGTAGGTGGGTAGGTGAGTGAGTAGGTGAGTGAGTGAGTGAGGTGTTTGCAATCGCGAAGGAATAGCCGGTTTTTCTGTATCACACCGGAGTAGTGAGTGAGTGAGTTGGTGAGTGAGTGGGTGAGTGAGTGAGTGAGTTGGTGAGTGAGTGGGTGGGTGAGTGGGTGGGTGAGATCTAAACTTTCTATACCGTACATCTCTCCGTGTCTCCGTGTGTCTCCGTGTGTCTCCGTGTCTCCGAGAATCTCCCCCGTATCTCCCCCCCATGTCCCCGTGTCTCCCCCCGTGTCTCCCCCCGTGTCTCCCCCCGTGTCTCCCCCCGTATCTCCCCCCGTGTCTCCCCCCGTGTCTCTCCGTGTCTCTCCCCGTGTCTCTCCGTGTCTCTCCCCGTGTCTCCGAGAATCTCTCCGTGTCTCTCCGTGTCTCCCCGTGTCTCTCCGTGTCTCCCCCCGTGTCTCTCCGTGTCTCTCCGTGTGTCTCCGAGAATCTCTCCGTGTCTCTCCGTGTGTCTCCGAGAATCTCTCCGTGTCTCTCCGTGTCTCTCCGTGTCTCTCCCCGTGTCTCTCCGTGTCTCTCCCCGTGTCTCCGAGAATCTCTCCGTGTCTCTCCGTGTCTCTCCGTGTCTCTCCCCGTGTCTCTCCCCGTGTCTCCGAGAATCTCTCCGTGTCTCTCCGTGTCTCTCCGTGTCTCTCCGTGTCTCTCCCCGTGTCTCTCCGTGTCTCTCCCCGTGTCTCCGAGAATCTCTCCGTGTCTCTCCGTGTCTCTCCCCGTGTCTCTCCGTGTCTCTCCCCGTGTCTCCGAGAATCTCTCCGTGTCTCCCCCCGTGTCTCTCCGTGTCTCTCCGTGTCTCTCCGTGTCTCTCCGTGTCTCTCCGTGTCTCTCCGTGTCTCTCCGTGTCTCTCCCCGTGTCTCCCAGAATCTCTCCGTGTCTCCCCCCGTGTCTCTCCGTGTCTCTCCCCGTGTCTCCGAGAATCTCTCCGTGTCTCTCCGTGTCTCTCCGTGTGTCCCCGTGTCTCTCCGTGTCTCTCCCCGTGTCTCCGAGAATCTCTCCGTGTCTCTCCCCGTGTCTCTCCGTGTCTCTCCCCGTGTCTCCGAGAATCTCTCCGTGTCTCTCCCCGTGTCTCTCCGTGTCTCTCCGTGTGTCTCCGTGTCTCTCCGTGTCTCTCCCCGTGTCTCCGAGAATCTCTCCGTGTCTCCCTGCGTGTCGTCTTCCAGCGTCTCCCCCGTGTCTCTCCCGTGTCTCCCCCTGTCCCCGTGTCTCTCTCTGTGTGTCTCCCCGTCTCTCCCCCCTGTGTCTCTCCCCGTGTCTCTCCCCGGGTCTCCCCCCGTGTCTCTCCCCGTGTCTCTCTCCCTGTGTCTCCCCCTGTCCCCGTGTCTCTCTCTGTGTGTCTCTCCCCGTGTCTCCCCGTGTCTCTCTCCCCGTGTCTCCCCCGTGTCTCTCCCCATGTCCCCGTGTCTCCCCGTGGTGTCTCTCCCCTGTGTCTCTCTCCCCGTGGTGTCTCTCCCCTGTGTCTCTCTCTCCCCGTGTCTCTCCCCATGTCCCCGTGTGTCTCTCCCCGTGTGTCTCTCTCCCCGTGTGTCTCTCTCCCCGTGTGTCTCTCTCCCCGTGTCTCTCTCTCCCCGTGTGTCTCTCTCCCCGTGTCTCTCTCTCCCCGTGTCTCTCTCCCCGTGTCTCTCTCTCCCCGTGTCTCTCTCTCCCCGTGTCTCTCTCTCCCCGTGTCTCTCTCTCCCCGTGTCTCTCTCTCCCCGTGTCTCTCTCTCCCCGTGTCTCTCTCTCCCCGTGTCTCTCTCTCCCCGTGTCTCTCTCTCCCCGTGTCTCTCTCCCCATGTCCCCGTGTCTCTCTCCCCGTGTCTCTCTCCCCGTGTCTCTCTCTCCCCGTGTCTCTCTCCGTGTGTCTCTCTCCGTGTGTCTCAGAATTTCAGCTTCTTGGGTTGCTCCCAGGGGAATTCCGGGCGTCCGAAATGTCCATAGCAGGCAGTGCTCTGATAGATAGGTCGCTTCAGATCCAAATCCCTGAACCACCACACACACAGTGACACACACACACACAGTGACACACACAGTGACACAGTGACACACACAGTGACACACACACACAGTGACACACACACACAGCGACACACACACACAGCGACACACACACACAGCGACACACACACACAGCGACACACACACACAGCGACACACACACAGTGACACACACACACAGTGACACACACACACACAGTGACACACACACACAGTGACACACACACACAGTGACACACACACACAGCGACACACACACACAGCGACACACACACACAGTGACACACACACACAGTGACACACACACACAGTGACACACACACACACACAGTGACACACACACACACACACAGTGACACACACACACACACAGTGACACAGTGACACACACAGTGACACAGTGACACACACAGTGACACAGTGACACACACAGTGACACACACACACACAGTGACACACACACACAGTGACACACACACAGTGACACACACACAGTGACACACACACAGTGACACACACACAGTGACACACACACACAGTGACACACACACAGTGACACACACACACAGTGACACACACACACAGCGACACACACACACAGCGACACACACACACACAGTGACACACACACACACAGTGACACACACAGTGACACACACAGTGACACACACACAGTGACACACACACAGTGACACACACACACACAGTGACACACACACACACAGTGACACACACAGCGACACACACACACACTGACACACACACACAGCGACACACACACACACAGCGACACACACACACAGTGACACACACACACAGTGACACACACACACAGTGACACACACACACAGTGACACACACACAGTGACACACACACACAGTGACACACACAGTGACACACACACAGTGACACACACAGTGACACACACACAGTGACACACAGTGACACACACAGTGACACACACACAGTGACACACACAGTGACACACACACAGTGACACACACAGTGACACACACACAGCGACACACACACAGTGACACACACACAGTGACACACACACAGTGACACACACACAGTGACACACACACAGTGACACACAGTGACACACACAGTGACACACACACAGTGACACACACAGTGACACACACACAGTGACACACACAGTGACACACACACAGTGACACACACACAGTGACACACAGTGACACACAGTGACACACAGTGACACACACACACACACAGTGACACACACACACACACAGTGACACACACACACACACAGTGACACACACACACACAGTGACACACACACACACACAGTGACACACACACACACAGTGACACACACACACACAGTGACACACACACAGTGACACACACACAGTGACACACACAGTGACACACACAGTGACACACACACAGTGACACACACAGTGACACACACAGTGACACACAGTGACACACAGTGACACACACACAGTGACACACACACAGTGACACACACACAGTGACACACACACAGTGACACACACACAGTGACACACACACAGTGACACACACAGTGACACACACACACAGTGACACACACAGTGACACACACAGTGACACACACAGTGACACACACACACAGTGACACACAGTGACACACAGTGACACACAGTGACACACAGTGACACACACACACAGTGACACACAGTGACACACACACACAGTGACACACACACACAGTGACACACACACACAGTGACACACACAGTGACACACACACACACACAGTGACACACACACACAGTGACACACACAGTGACACACACACACACACACTGACACACACAGTGACACACACACACAGTGACACACACACACAGTGACACACACACACAGTGACACACACACACAGTGACACACACACACAGTGACACACACACACACAGTGACACACACACACAGTGACACACACACACACAGTGACACACACACACACAGTGACACACACACACACAGTGACACACACACACAGTGACACACACAGTGACACACACACACAGTGACACACACAGTGACACACACACACACAGTGACACACACACACACAGTGACACACACACACACAGTGACACACACACACAGTGACACACACAGTGACACACACAGTGACACACACAGTGACACACACAGTGACACACAGTGACACACACACACAGTGACACACACACACAGTGACACACAGTGACACACACAGTGACACACACACACACACACAGTGACACACACACAGTGACACACACACACACACACAGTGACACACACACAGTGACACACACACAGTGACACACACACACAGTGACACACACACACAGTGACACACACACACAGTGACACACACAGTGACACACACAGTGACACACACAGTGACACACACAGTGACACACACAGTGACACACACAGTGACACACACACACAGTGACACACACACACAGTGACACACACACACAGTGACACACACACACAGTGACACACACACAGTGACACACACACACAGTGACACACACACACAGTGACACACACACACAGTGACACACACACAGTGACACACACACAGTGACACACACACAGTGACACACACACAGTGACACACACACAGTGACACACACACAGTGACACACACACAGTGACACACACACAGTGACACACACACAGTGACACACACACAGTGACACACACACAGTGACACACACAGTGACACACACAGTGACACACACAGTGACACACACAGTGACACACACACACAGTGACACACACACACAGTGACACACACACACACAGTGACACACACACACACAGTGACACACACACACACAGTGACACACACACACACAGTGACACACACACACACAGTGACACACACACACACAGTGACACACACACAGTGACACACACACAGTGACACACACACAGTGACACACACACAGTGACACACACACAGTGACACACACAGTGACACACACAGTGACACACACAGTGACACACACAGTGACACACACACAGTGACACACACACAGTGACACACACACAGTGACACACACACACAGTGACACACACACACAGTGACACACACACAGTGACACACACACACAGTGACACACACACACAGTGACACACACACACAGTGACACACACACACAGTGACACACACACAGTGACACACACACACAGTGACACACACACAGTGACACACACACAGTGACACACACACAGTGACACACACACAGTGACACACACAGTGACACACACAGTGACACACACACAGTGACACACACAGTGACACACAGACAGTGACACACAGTGACACACACAGTGACACACACAGTGACACACACAGTGACACACACACACAGTGACACACACAGTGACACACACAGTGACACACACAGTGACACACACACACAGTGACACACACTGACACACACACAGCGACACACACACACAGTGACACACACACAGTGACACACACACACACACACAGTGACACACACACAGTGACACACACACAGTGACACACACAGTGACACACACAGTGACACACACAGTGACACACACACACAGTGACACACACACACAGTGACACACACACACACACTGACACACACACACAGTGACACACACACTGACACACACACTGACACACACAGTGACACACACAGTGACACACACAGTGACACACACAGTGACACACACACAGTGACACACACACACAGTGACACACACACACAGTGACACACACACACAGTGACACACACAGTGACACACACACAGTGACACACACAGTGACACACACAGTGACACACACACAGTGACACACACACAGTGACACACACACAGTGACACACACAGTGACACACACAATGACACACACAGTGACACACACAGTGACACACACACACAGTGACACACACAGTGACACACACAGTGACACACACAGTGACACACACAGTGACACACACAATGACACACACACAGTGACACACACACAGTGATACACACACAGTGACACACACACACAGTGACACACAGTGACACACACAGTGACACACACACAGTGACACACACACAGTGACACACACAGTGACACACACAGTGACACACACACAGTGACACACACAGTGACACACACAGTGACACACACACACAGTGACACACACACAGTGACACACACACAGTGACACACACACAGTGACACACACAGTGACACACACAGTGACACACACACACAGTGACACACACACACAGTGACACACACACACAGTGACACACACAGTGACACACACACAGTGACACACACAGTGACACACACAGTGACACACACAGTGACACACACACAGTGACACACACACAGTGACACACACAGTGACACACACACACACAGTGACACACACTGACACAGTGACACACACTGACACAGTGACACACACACACACACAGTGACACACACACAGTGACACACACACAGTGACACACACAGTGACACACACACAGTGACACACACACACAGTGACACACACAGTGACACACACACAGTGACACACACACAGTGACACACACACAGTGACACACACACAGTGACACACACAGTGACACACACACAGTGACACACACAATGACACACACAGTGTCACACACAGTGACACACACACAGTGACACACACAGTGACACACACACACAGTGACACACACACACAGTGACACACACACACAGTGACACACACACACAGTGACACACACACACAGTGACACACACACACAGTGACACACACACACAGTGACACACACACACAGTGACACACACACAGTGACACACACACAGTGACACACACACAGTGACACACACAGTGACACACACACAGTGACACACACAGTGACACACACAGTGACACACACACAGTGACACACACAGTGACACACAGACAGTGACACACAGTGACACACACAGTGACACACACAGTGACACACACAGTGACACACACACACAGTGACACACACAGTGACACACACAGTGACACACAGTGACACACACACACAGTGACACACACTGACACACACACACACACACTGACACACACACTGACACACACAGTGACACACACACACAGTGACACACACACACAGTGACACACACACACAGTGACACACACACACAGTGACACACACACAGTGACACACACACACACAGTGACACACACACACAGTGACACACACACACACAGTGACACACACACACACAGTGACACACACACACACAGTGACACACACACACAGTGACACACAGTGACACACACACACAGTGACACACACAGTGACACACACAGTGACACACACACAGTGACACACACACAGTGTCACACACAGTGACACACACACACACAGTGACACACACACAGTGACACACAGTGACACACAGTGACACACACACAGTGACACACACACACAGTGACACACACACAGTGACACACACAGTGACACACACACAGTGACACACAGTGACACACACACACAGTGACACACAGTGACACACACACACAGTGACACACACAGTGACACACACAGTGACACACACAGTGACACACACAGTGACACACACAGTGACACACACACACAGTGACACACAGTGACACACACACAGTGACACACACAGTGACACACACACAGTGACACACACAGTGACACACACAGTGACACACACAGTGACACACACAGTGACACACACAGTGACACACACAGTGACACACACACACAGTGACACACACAGTGACACACACAGTGACACACACACACAGTGACACACAGTGACACACACACACAGTGACACACACAGTGACACACACAGTGACACACACACAGTGACACACACACAGTGACACACACACAGTGACACACACACAGTGACACACACAGTGACACACACACAGTGACACACACAGTGACACACACAGTGACACACACAGTGACACACACACAGTGACACACACAGTGACACACACACAGTGACACACACAGTGACACACACACAGTGACACACACACAGTGACACACACACACACAGTGACACACACACACACAGTGACACACACACACACAGTGACATACACACACACAGTGACACACAGTGACACACAGTGACACACACAGTGACACACACAGTGACACACACACACAGTGACACACACAGTGACACACACAGTGACACACACACACACAGTGACACACACAGTGACACACACAGTGACACACACACACACAGTGACACACACACAGTGACACACACACACAGTGACACACACAGTGACACACACAGTGACACACACAGTGACACACACACAGTGACACACACACACACAGTGACACACACAGTGACACACACACAGTGACACACACAGTGACACACACACACACAGTGACACACACACACACAGTGACACACACAGTGACACACACACAGTGACACACACACACAGTGACACACACACACACAGTGACACACACACAGTGACACACACACAGTGACACACACAGTGACACACACAGTGACACACACAGTGACACACACAGTGACACACACACAGTGACACACACACAGTGACACACACACAGTGACACACACAGTGACACACACACAGTGACACACACACAATGACACACACACAGTGACACACACACAGTGACACACACACAGTGACACACACACAGTGACACACAGTGACACACACACACAGTGACACACACAGTGACACACACAGTGACACACACACAGTGACACACACACAATGACACACACACAGTGACACACACACAGTGACACACACACAGTGACACACACACAGTGACACACACACAGTGACACACACACAGTGACACACACACACAGTGACACACACACACAGTGACACACACACAGTGACACACACACAGTGACACACACACACAGTGACACACACACAGTGACACACACAGTGACACACACACAGTGACACACACACAGTGAGACACACACAGTGAGACACACAGTGACACACACACAGTGACACACACAGTGACACACACACAGTGACACACACACACAGTGACACACACACAGTGTCACACACAGTGACACACACAGTGACACACAGTGACACACACACAGTGACACACACACACACAGTGACACACACACACACAGTGACACACACACACACAGTGACACACACACACACAGTGACACACACACAGTGACACACACACAGTGACACACACAGTGACACACACAGTGACACACACACAGTGACACACACAGTGACACACACAGTGACACACACAGTGACACACACAGTGACACACACAGTGACACACACACACAGTGACACACACACACACAGTGACACACACACAGTGTCACACACAGTGACACACACAGTGACACACACACACACAGTGACACACACAGTGACACACACACACACAGTGACACACACACAGTGACACACACACAGTGACACACACAGTGACACACACACACACAGTGACACACACACAGTGACACACAGTGACACACACACACACACAGTGACACACACAGTGACACACACACAGTGACACACCTGACAATAACACCAGGTCGGAGGTCAAAGTTAGCGTTGACGATTTGGAGCAGTTCCCGCTCAGAGCGCTGAGACGTCCCGTAGTGGAAGATTGAGATGGAGAGCGGATGGCTCACTCCGATAGCATACGCCACCTGTGAACCACAGGTAACCACACTAACTAGTTAACTAACTAGTTAACTAACTAGCAAACTAGTAAACTAGCTAGTAAACTAGTAAACTAACTAGTAAACTAGCTATCACACCAGCTAGTAAACTAGTTAGTAAGCGGGTGGCTCACTCCGATAGCATACGCCACCTGTGAACCACAGGTAACCACACTAACTAGTTAACTAACTAGTTAACTAGTTAACTAACTAGTAAACTAGTAAACTAACTAGTAAACTAACTAGTAAACTAGTAAACTAGCTAGCTAGTAAACTAGTTAGTAAGCGGGTGGCTCACTCCGATAGCATACGCCACCTGTGAACCAGAGGTAACCACACTAACTAGTAAACTAACTAGTTAACTAGTAAACTAACTAGTTAACTAACTAGTAAACTAGTAAACTAGCTAGCTAGTAAACTAGTTAGTAAGCGGGTGGCTCACTCCGATAGCATACGCCACCTGTGAACCACAGGTAACCACACTAACTAGTTAACTAACTAGTTAACTAGCTAGTTAACTAGTAAACTAGCTAGTAAACTAGTAAACTAGCTAGCTAGTAAACTAGTTAGTAAGCGGGTGGCTCACTCCGATAGCATACGCCACCTGTGAACCACAGGTAACCACACTAACTAGTTAACTAACTAGTTAACTAGTAAACTAACTAGTAAACTAGCTAGTAAACTAGTAAACTAGCTAGCTAGTAAACTAGTTAGTAAGCGGGTGGCTCACTCCGATAGCATACGCCACCTGTGAACCAGAGGTAACCACACTAACTAGTTAACTAGCTAGTTAACTAGCTAGTTAACTAGCTAGTTAACTAGTAAACTAGCTAGTAAACTAGCTAGCTAGTAAACTAGCTAGCTAGTAAACTAGTAAACTAGTAAACTAGCTAGTAAACTAGCTAGCTAGTAAACTAGCTAGTAAACTAGTAAACTAGCTATCACACCAGCTAGTAAACTAGCTAGTAAACTAGTAAACTAGTTAGTAAGCGGGTGGCTCACTCCGATAGCATACGCCACCTGTGAACCAGAGGTAACCACACTAACTAGTTAACTAACTAGTTAACTAGCTACCACACCAGCTAGTGAACTAGCTACCAAACCAGCTAGTGAACTAGCTAGTTTACTAGCTAAACTAGCTAGTAAACTAGCTAGTTTACTAGCTACCATCACCCCCCTCACCCTCACCACCACCACCTCACCCTCACCACCTCACCACCACCTCCTCACCTGCACCAGGACCCTCCGACAGAGCCCTGCTGTGACGAGCGACTTAGCCACCCAACGAGCTGCATAGACACCACCATCATCACCACCACCATCACCACCTCACCCTCACCATCACCACCTCACCCTCACCTCACCTCCTCACCCTCACCTCCTCACCCTCACCACCTCCTCACCTGCACCAGGACCCTCCGACAGAGTCCTGCTGTGACGAGCGACTTAGCCACCCAACGAGCTGCATAGACACCACCACACCTCACACTCACCACCACCTCACCCTCACCTCCTCACCCTCACCTCCTCACCCTCACCACCTCCTCACCACCTCCTCACCTGCACCAGGACCCTCCGACAGAGCCCTGCTGTAACGAGCGACTTAGCCACCCAACGAGCTGCATAGACACCACCACACCTCACCATCACCTCACCATCACCCTCACCACCTCACCCTCACCACCATCACCACCACACCTCACCACCACCTCACCCTCACCTCCTCACCCTCACCCTCACCTCCTCACCCTCACCTCCTCACCACCTCCTCACCTGCACCAGGACCCTCCGACAGAGCCCTGCTGTGACGAGCGACTTGGCCACCCAACGAGCTGCATAGACACCACCATCATCACCACCACCATCACCATCACCACCACCCTCACCTCCTCACCCTCACCACCTCCTCACCCTCACCCTCACCTCCTCACCACCCTCACCACCACCTCCTCACCTGCACCAGGACCCTCCGACAGAGCCCTGCTGTGACGAGCGACTTGGCCACCCAACGAGCTGCATAGACACCACCATCACCACCACCACCACCATCACCATCACCACCTCACCCTCACCTCCTCACCCTCACCTCCTCACCCTCACCACCACCTCCTCACCTGCACCAGGACCCTCCGACAGAGCCCTGCTGTGACGAGCGACTTGGCCACCCAACGAGCTGCATAGACACCACCATCATCACCACCATCACCCTCACCTCCTCACCCTCACCTCCTCACCCTCACCTCCTCACCACCTCCTCACCTGCACCAGGACCCTCCGACAGAGCCCTGCTGTGACGAGCGACTTAGCCACCCAACGAGCTGCATAGACACCACCATCATCACCACCACCACCACCACACCTCACCCTCACCCTCACCTCCTCACCCTCACCTCCTCACCCTCACCACCTCCTCACCTGCACCAGGACCCTCCGACAGAGCCCTGCTGTGACGAGCGACTTGGCCACCCAACGAGCTGCATAGACACCACCATCACCACCACCACCATCACCACCACCACACCTCACCATCACCCTCACCTCCTCACCCTCACCTCCTCACCTGCACCAGGACCCTCCGACAGAGCCCTGCTGTGACGAGCGACTTGGCCACCCAACGAGCTGCATAGACACCACCATCATCACCACCACCATCACCACCCTCACCACCATCATCACCACCATCACCACCCTCACCACCATCATCACCACCATCACAACCACCATCATCACCATCACCACACTCACCTCCTCACCCTCACCCTCACCTCCTCACCCTCACCTCCTCACCCTCCTCACCACCTCCTCACCTGCACCAGGACCCTCCGACAGAGCCCTGCTGTGACGAGCGACTTGGCCACCCAACGAGCTGCATAGACACCACCATCATCACCACCATCACCACCCTCACCACCATCACCACCATCATCACCACCACCATCACCACCTCACCCTCACCCTCACCACCACCTCACCCTCACCTCCTCACCACCCTCACCACCTCCTCACCTGCACCAGGACCCTCCGACAGAGCCCTGCTGTGACGAGCGACTTGGCCACCCAACGAGCTGCATAGACACCACCATCACCACCACCATCACCACCTCCACCACACCCTCACCCTCACCTCCTCACCCTCACCACCTCCTCACCACCTCCTCCTCACCTGCACCAGGACCCTCCGACAGAGCCCTGCTGTGACGAGCGACTTGGCCACCCAACGAGCTGCATAGACACCACCATCATCACCACCACCACCACCATCACCACACCTCACCCTCACCACCACCTCACCCTCACCTCCTCACCCTCACCTCCTCACCCTCACCTCCTCACCCTCACCACCACCTCCTCACCTGCACCAGGACCCTCCGACAGAGCCCTGCTGTGACGAGCGACTTGGCCACCCAACGAGCTGCATAGGCTGCCGAGCGGTCGACTTTGGAGAAGTCCTTGCCGGAGAAAGCCCCTCCACCATGGGCCCCCCAGCCACCGTACGTGTCCACGATCACCTTGCGGCCCGTCAACCCCGCGTCTCCCTGGTCATGGTGGGTGGGGGGGTTGGTGGGTGGAGGGGTTAGTGGGGGGGGGGGAGAGAAGGCCCCCTCCACCATGGGCCCCCCCAGCCACCGTACGTGTCCACGATCACCTTGCGGCCCGTCAACCCCGCGTCTCCCTGGTGGGTGGGGTGGGTTGGTGGGGGGGTTGGTGGGTGGAGGGGTTAGTGGGGGGGGGGAGAGAAAGCCCCCTCCACCATGGGCCCCCCAGCCACCGTACGTGTCCACGATCACCTTGCGGCCCGTCAACCCCGCGTCTCCCTGGTCATGGTGGGGGGGGTTGGTGGGTGGAGGGGTTAGTGGGGGGGGGGAGAGAAGGCCCCCTCCACCATGGGCCCCCCAGCCACCGTACGTGTCCACGATCACCTTGCGGCCCGTCAACCCCGCGTCTCCCTGGTGGGTGGGGTGGGTGGGTTGGTGGGTGGAGGGGTTAGTGGGGGGGGGAGAGAAGGCCCCCTCCACCATGGGCCCCCCAGCCACCGTACGTGTCCACGATCACCTTGCGGCCCGTCAACCCCGCGTCTCCCTGGTGGGTGGGGGGGTTGGTGGGTGGAGGGGTTAGTGGGGGGGGGGAGAGAAGGCCCCCTCCACCATGGGCCCCCCAGCCACCGTACGTGTCCACGATCACCTTGCGGCCCGTCAACCCCGCGTCTCCCTGGTCACGTGGGGGGGTTGGTGGGTGAGTGAGTGAGTGAGTGGGTGAGTGGGTGGGTGAGTGAGTGAGTGGGTGAGTGAGTGAGTGGGTGAGTGAGTGGGTGGGTGAGTGAGTGGGTGAGTGGGTGGGTGAGTGGGTGAGTGGTGAGTGGTGAGTGGTGAGCGAGGTGGTGAGTGAGTTGCTGAGTTGGTGAGTGAGTGGTGAGTGGTGAGTGGGTTAGTGGGTGAGTGGGCGAGTGGGTGGGTGGGTGAGTGGTGAGTGAGCGAGTTGGTGAGTGAGTGAGTGGTGAGTGAGCGAGATGGCGGGCTAGTTGGTGAGTGAGTTGGTGAGCGAGTTGGTGAGTGAGTTGGTGAGCGACTTAGTGAGCGAGTGAGTTGGTGAGTTGGTGAGCGACTTGGTGAGTGAGTGGTGAGTGAGTGGTGAGTGGTGAGCGAGTTGGTGAGTGAGTGGTGAGTGAGTTGGTGAGTTGGTGAGTTGGTGAGTTGGTGAGTGAGTGGTGAGTTGGTGAGCGACTTGGTGAGTGAGTTGGTGAGCGAGTTGGTGAGCGAGTGAGTTGGTGAGTTGGTGAGCGACTTGGTGAGTGAGTGGTGAGTGGTGAGCGAGTTGGTGAGTGAGTGGTGAGTGAGTGGTGAGTGGTGAGCGAGTTGGTGAGTGAGTGGTGAGTGAGTTGGTGAGTGGTGAGTGAGTGGTGAGTTGGTGATTGAGTTGGTGAGTGAGTTGGTGAGTGTGTGGTGAGTGAGTTGGTGAGTGAGTTGGTGAGTGAGTTGGTGAGTTGGTGAGTGAGTTGGTGAGTGAGTTGGTGAGTGAGTGGTGAGTTGGTGAGTGAGTTGGTGAGTGGGTGAGTGAGTTGGTGAGTGAGTGGTGAGTGAGTTGGTGAGTGAGTGGTGAGTGAGTTGGTGAGTGAGTTGGTGAGTGAGTTGGTGAGTTGGTGAGTGAGTTGGTGAGTGAGTTGGTGAGTGAGTGGTGAGTGAGTTGGTGAGTGAGTTGGTGAGTGAGTTGGTGAGTGAGTTGGTGAGTGAGTTGGTGAGTGAGTTGGTGAGTGAGTTGGTGAGTGAGTGGTGAGTGGTGAGTGGGTTAGTGGGTGAGTGGGCGAGTGGGTGGGTGGGTGAGTGGTGAGTGAGCGAGTTGGTGAGTGAGTGAGTGGTGAGTGAGCGAGATGGCGGGCTAGTTGGTGAGTGAGTTGGTGAGCGAGTTGGTGAGTGAGTTGGTGAGCGACTTAGTGAGCGAGTGAGTTGGTGAGTTGGTGAGCGACTTGGTGAGTGAGTGGTGAGTGAGTGGTGAGTGGTGAGCGAGTTGGTGAGTGAGTGGTGAGTGAGTTGGTGAGTTGGTGAGTTGGTGAGTTGGTGAGTGAGTGGTGAGTTGGTGAGCGACTTGGTGAGTGAGTTGGTGAGCGAGTTGGTGAGCGAGTGAGTTGGTGAGTTGGTGAGCGACTTGGTGAGTGAGTGGTGAGTGGTGAGCGAGTTGGTGAGTGAGTGGTGAGTGAGTGGTGAGTGGTGAGCGAGTTGGTGAGTGAGTGGTGAGTGAGTTGGTGAGTGGTGAGTGAGTGGTGAGTTGGTGATTGAGTTGGTGAGTGAGTTGGTGAGTGTGTGGTGAGTGAGTTGGTGAGTGAGTTGGTGAGTGAGTTGGTGAGTTGGTGAGTGAGTTGGTGAGTGAGTTGGTGAGTGAGTGGTGAGTTGGTGAGTGAGTTGGTGAGTTGGTGAGTGAGTTGGTGAGTGAGTGGTGAGTGAGTTGGTGAGTGAGTGGTGAGTGAGTTGGTGAGTGAGTTGGTGAGTGAGTTGGTGAGTTGGTGAGTGAGTTGGTGAGTGAGTTGGTGAGTGAGTGGTGAGTGAGTTGGTGAGTGAGTTGGTGAGTGAGTTGGTGAGTGAGTTGGTGAGTGAGTTGGTGAGTGAGTTGGTGAGTGAGTTGGTGAGTGAGTGGTGAGTGAGTTGGTGAGTGAGTTGGTGAGTGAGTTGGTGAGTGAGTGGTGAGTGAGTTGGTGAGTGAGTTGGTGAGTGAGTTGGTGAGTGAGTTGGTGAGTGAGTTGGTGAGTGAGTTGGTGAGTGAGTGGTGAGTGAGTTGGTGAGTGGGTGAGTGAGTTGGTGAGTGAGTTGGTGAGTGAGTTGGTGAGTTGGTGAGTGAGTTGGTGAGTGAGTTGGTGAGTGAGTTGGTGAGTGAGTTGGTGAGTGAGTTGGTGAGTGAGTTGGTGAGTGAGTTGGTGAGTTGGTGAGTGAGTTGGTGAGTGAGTTGGTGAGTTGGTGAGTGAGTTGGTGAGTGAGTTGGTGAGTTGGTGAGTGAGTTGGTGAGTGAGTTGGTGAGTTGGTGAGTGAGTTGGTGAGTGAGTTGGTGAGTGAGTGGTGAGTGAGTTGGTGAGTGAGTTGGTGAGTGAGTGGTGAGTGAGTTGGTGAGTGAGTTGGTGAGTGAGTTGGTGAGCGAGTTGGTGAGTTGGTGAGTGAGTTGGTGAGTGAGTTGGTGAGTTGGTGAGTGAGTTGGTGAGTGAGTTGGTGAGTGAGTTGGTGAGTGGTGAGTGAGTTGGTGAGTGAGTTGGTGAGTGGTGAGTGAGTTGGTGAGTGAGTTGGTGAGTGGTGAGTGAGTTGGTGAGTGAGTTGGTGAGTGGTGAGTGAGTTGGTGAGTGAGTTGGTGAGTGAGTTGGTGAGTTGGTGAGTGAGTTGGTGAGTGAGTTGGTGAGTTGGTGAGTGAGTTGGTGAGTGAGTTGGTGAGTTGGTGAGTGAGTTGGTGAGTGAGTTGGTGAGTTGGTGAGTGAGTTGGTGAGTTGGTGAGTGAGTTGGTGAGTGAGTGAGTTGGTGAGTGAGTTGGTGAGTGAGTTGGTGAGTGGTGAGTGAGTTGGTGAGTGAGTTGGTGAGTGAGTTGGTGAGTGAGTGGTGAGTGAGTGGTGAGTGAGTTGGTGAGTGAGTTGGTGAGTGAGTTGGTGAGTGAGTTGGTGAGTGAGTGGTGAGTGAGTTGGTGAGTTGGTGAGTGAGTTGGTGAGTTGGTGAGTGAGTTGGTGAGTGAGTGGTGAGTGAGTGGTGAGTGAGTTGGTGAGTGAGTTGGTGAGTGAGTTGGTGAGTGAGTGGTGAGTGAGTTGGTGAGTTGGTGAGTGAGTTGGTGAGTTGGTGAGTGAGTTGGTGAGTGAGTGGTGAGTGAGTTGGTGAGTGAGTGGTGAGTGAGTTGGTGAGTGAGTTGGTGAGTGAGTGGTGAGTGAGTTGGTGAGTGAGTGGTGAGTGAGTTGGTGAGTGAGTTGGTGAGTGAGTTGGTGAGTTGGTGGGTGAGTGAGTTGGTGAGTGAGTTGGTGAGTGAGTTGGTGAGTGAGTTGGTGAGTGAGTGGGTGAGTGAGTGGTGAGTGAGTTGGTGAGTGAGTGGGTGAGTGAGTGGTGAGTGAGTTGGTGAGTGAGTTGGTGAGTGAGTTGGTGAGTGAGTTGGTGAGTGAGTTGGTGAGTGAGTTGGTGAGTGGTGAGTGAGTTGGTGAGTGAGTTGGTGAGTGAGTTGGTGAGTGAGTTGGTGAGTGAGTTGGTGAGTGAGTTGGTGAGTGAGTGGTGAGTTGGTGAGTGAGTTGGTGAGTGAGTTGGTGAGTGAGTTGGTGAGTGAGTTGGTGAGTGGTGAGTGAGTTGGTGAGTGAGTTGGTGAGTGAGTTGGTGAGTGAGTTGGTGAGTGAGTTGGTGAGTGAGTGGTGAGTTGGTGAGTGAGTTGGTGAGTGAGTTGGTGAGTGAGTGGTGAGTTGGTGAGTGAGTTGGTGAGTGAGTTGGTGAGTGGTGAGTGAGTTGGTGAGTGAGTTGGTGAGTGAGTTGGTGAGTGAGTTGGTGAGTGAGTTGGTGAGTGAGTTGATGAGTGAGTGGTGAGTTGGTGAGTGAGTTGGTGAGTGAGTGGTGAGTTGGTGAGTGAGTTGGTGAGTGAGTTGGTGAGTGGTGAGTGAGTTGGTGAGTGAGTTGGTGAGTGAGTTGGTGAGTGAGTTGGTGAGTGAGTTGGTGAGTGAGTTGGTGAGTGAGTTGGTGAGTGAGTTGGTGAGTTGGTGAGTTGGTGAGTGAGTTGGTGAGTGAGTGGGTGAGTGGGTTGGTGAGTGAGTTGGTGAGTGAGTGGGTGAGTGAGTGGGTGAGTTGGTGAGTGAGTTGGTGAGTGAGTTGGTGAGTGAGTTGGTGAGCGAGTTGGTGAGTGAGTTGGTGAGTGAGTTGGTGAGTGAGTGGGTGAGTGAGTGGTGAGTTGGTGAGTGAGTTGGTGAGTGAGTTGGTGAGTGAGTTGGTGAGTGAGTTGGTGAGTGAGTTGGTGAGCGAGTTGGTGAGTGAGTTGGTGAGTGAGTTGGTGAGTGAGTGGTGAGTGGGTGAGTGAGTTGGTGAGTGAGTTGGTGAGTTGGTGAGTGAGTTGGTGAGTGAGTTGGTGAGTGAGTGGTGAGTGAGTTGGTGAGTTGGTGAGTGAGTGGTGAGTTGGTGAGTGAGTGGTGAGTGAGTTGGTGAGTTGGTGAGTGAGTGGTGAGTGAGTTGGTGAGTGAGTTGGCTCCTCACCTGAGGACCACCGATGACGAAGCGACCGCTGGGCTGGAGGTGGCACACAGTGTTGGCGTCGAGGTAGCGCTCCGGAACAACGGACTTCACCACTCGCTCCATCAGAGCCACACGCATCTCATCCAGAGACACCTGGGACAAGGCAGCAGTGGATAGAACATGGTGATGGTGGTGGTGATGGTGGTGGTGATGGTGGTGATGGTGGTGGTGATGGTGGTGGTAGTGGTGGTGATGGTGGTGGTGGTGATGGTGGTGGTGATGGTGGTGATGGTGATGGTGGTGATGATGGTGATGGTGGTGGTGGTGGTGATGGTGGTGATGGTGGTGATGGTGGTGGTGATGGTGGTGGTGGTGGTGATGGTGGTGATGGTGGTGGTGATGGTGGTGATGGTGATGGTGGTGATGGTGGTGGTGGTGGTGGTGGTGATGGTGGTGGTGATGGTGGTGGTGGTGATGGTGGTGGTGGTGATGGTGGTGGTGGTGATGGTGGTGATGGTGATGGTGATGATGGTGGTGGTGATGGTGGTGGTGGTGATGGTGATGATGGTGGTGGTGATGGTGGTGGTGGTGATGGTGGTGATGGTGGTGGTGGTGATGGTGGTGATTGTGGTGATGGTGGTGATTGTGGTGATTGTGGTGATTGTTGTGATTGTGGTGATTGTTGTTGTGATTGTGGTGATTGTTGTGGTGATTGTTGTGATTGTTGTGGTGATTGTTGTGATTGTGGTGATTGTGGTGATTGTGGTGATGATTGTGGTGATTGTTGTTGTGATTGTGGTGATTGTGGTGATTGTGGTGATTGTGGTAATTGTTGTGATTGTGGTGATTGTGGTGATTGTTGTTGTGATTGTGGTGATTGTGGTGATTGTTGTGGTTGTTGTGGTTGTTGTGGTGATTGTGGTGATTGTGGTGATTGTGGTTGTTGTGGTGATTGTGGTGATTGTGGTGATTGTGGTGATTGTTGTTGTGATTGTGGTGATTGTGGTGATTGTGGTGATTGTTGTGATTGTTGTGATTGTGGTGATTGTGGTGATTGTGGTGATTGTGGTGATTGTTGTTGTGATTGTGGTGATTGTGGTGATTGTGGTGATTGTGGTGATTGTTGTGATTGTGGTGATTGTGGCGATTGTGGCGATTGTGGCGATTGTGGCGATTGTGGCGATTGTGGCGATTGTGGCGATTGTGGTGATTGTGGTGATTGTTGTTGTGATTGTGGTGATTGTGGTGATTGTTGTGGTGATTGTGGTGATTGTGGTGATTGTTGTTGTGATTGTGGTGATTGTGGTGATTGTGGTGATTGTTGTTGTGATTGTGGTGATTGTGGTGATTGTGGTGATTGTTGTGGTGATTGTGGTGATTGTGGTGATTGTTGTGGTGATTGTGGTGATTGTGGTGATTGTTGTTGTGATTGTGGTGATTGTGGTGGTTGTGGTGATTGTGGTGATTGTGGTGATTGTTGTGGTGATTGTGGTGATTGTTGTGGTGATTGTGGTGATTGTTGTTGTGATTGTGGTGATTGTGGTGATTGTTGTTGTGATTGTGGTGATTGTTGTTGTGATTGTGGTGATTGTGGTGATTGTGGTGATTGTTGTTGTGATTGTTGTGGTGATTGTGGTGATTGTGGTGATTGTTGTGGTGATTGTGGTGATTGTGGTGATTGTGGTCACCTTCTCGTCGTGCTGGACTGAGATGACCACGGTGTGGACTCTGACTGGCACCACCGCTCCACATTCCTGGCGATACTGTACAGTCACCTGTACGTACAGTATCTCAGTTAGTCACTCAGTCAGTCACTCAGTCACTTAGTTAGTCACTCAGTCACTCAGTCAGTCACCTGTAGGTACAGTCACCTGTAGGTACAGTATCTCAGTTAGTTAGTCACTTAGTTAGTCAGTCACTCAGTCAGTCACTCAGTCAGTCACTCAGTCACTCAGTCACTCAGTCACCTGTAGGTACAGTATCTCAGTTAGTTAGTCACTTAGTTAGTCAGTCACTCAGTCAGTCACTCAGTCAGTCACCTGTAGGTACAGTATCTCAGTCACTTAGTTAGTCAGTCACTCAGTCAGTCACTCAGTCACCTGTAGGTACAGTCACCTGTAGGTACAGTATCTCAGTCACTTAGTTAGTCACTCAGTCAGTCACACAGTCACCTGTAGGTACAGTCACCTGTAGGTACAGTATCTCAGTCACTTAGTTAGTCACTCAGTCAGTCAAACAGTCACCTGTAGGTACAGTATCTCAGTCACTTAGTTAGTCACTCAGTCAGTCACACAGTCACCTGTAGGTACAGTATCTCAGTCACTTAGTCAGTCAGTCACTCAGTCACCTGTAGGTACAGTCACCTGTAGGTACAGTATCTCAGTCACTTAGTCAGTCAGTCACTCAGTCAGTCACTCAGTCACCTGTAGGTACAGTATCTCAATCACTTAGTCAGTCAGTCGGTCACTCAGTCACCTGTAGGTACAGTATCTCAGTCACTTAGTCAGTCACTCAGTCACTTAGTTAGTCAGTCAGTCAGTCACTCAGTCAGTCACTCAGTCAGTCACTCACTCACACAGTCACCTGTAGGTACAGTATCTCAGTCACTTAGTTAGTCACTCAGTCAGTCACTCAGTCAGTCACTCAGTCACTCAGTCACCTGTAGGTACAGTTACTCAGTCAATTAGTTAGTCAGTCACTCAGTCAGTCACTCAGTCACCTGTAGGTACAGTATCTGTCACTTAGTCAGTCACTCAGTCACACAGTCACCTGTAGGTACAGTATCTCAGTCACTTAGTTAGTCAGTCACTCAGTCACTCAGTCAGTCAGTCACTCAGTCAGTCACTTAGTTACTCAGTCAGTCAATTAGTCACTCAGTCAGTCAGTCAGTCACCCACTCAGTGAGTCAGTCAGTGAGTCACCTGGGTCTTGGAGTCTGGGCGTAGCCAGGGCAGTGATCCATCGCGACGTAGCTGAGCCATTCGAGCGTTGAGCGAGTGAGCCAGTCAGTCACTCAGTCACTCAGTCACTCAATTAGTCACTCAGTCAGTCAGACAATTAGTCACTCAGTCAGTCAGTCACTCAGTCAGTCACTCAGTCAGTCACTCACTCAGTCACTCAGTCAGCCACTCAGTCACTCAGTCAGCCACTCAGTCAGTCAATTAGTCACTCAGTCAGTCAGTCACACAGTCACTCAGTCAGTCACACAGTCACTCACACAGTCACTCAGTCAGTCACTCAGTCAGTGACTCAGTCAGTCAGTCATTCACTCAGTTACTCACACAGTCAGTCAGTCACTCAGTCAGTCACTCACACAGTCACTCAGTCAGCCACTCAGTCAGCCACTCAGTCAGCCACTCAGTCAGTCACTCAGTCAGTCACTCACTCAGTCACCTGGGTCTTGGAGTCTGGGCGTAGCCAGGGCAGTGATCCATCGCGACGTAGCTGCGCCATTCGAGCGTTGAGCGAGTGAGCCAGTCAGTCACTCAGTCACTCAATTAGTCACTCAGTCACTCACTCAGTCAGTCAGTCAGTCACACAGTCACTCAGTCAGCCACTCAGTCAGTCACTCACTCAGTCACTCACTCAGTCACTCACTCAGTCACTCAGTCAGCCACTCAGTCAGCCACTCAGTCAGCCACTCAGTCAGTCACTCAGTCAGTCACTCACTCAGTCAGCCACTCAGTCACTCAGTCAGTCACTCAGTGAGTCAGTCAGTGAGTCACCTGGGTCTTGGAGTCTGGGCGTAGCCAGGGCAGTGATCCATCGCGACGTAGCTGCGCCATTCGAGCGTTGAGCGAGTGAGCCAGTCAGTCAGTCAGTCACTCAATTAGTCACTCAGTCAGTCAGTCAATTAGTCACTCAGTCAGTCAGTCAGTCACACAGTCACTCAGTCAGCCACTCAGTCAGTCACTCACTCAGTCACTCACTCAGTCACTCAGTCAGCCACTCAGTCAGCCACTCAGTCAGTCACTCAGTCAGTCACTCACTCAGTCACTCAGTCAGCCACTCAGTCAGCCACTCAGTCAGTCACTCACCCAGTCAGTGAGTCAGTCAGTGAGTCACCTGGGTCTTGGAGTCTGGGCGTAGCCAGGGCAGTGATCCATCGCGACGTAGCTGCGCCATTCGAGCGTTGAGCGAGTGAGCCAGTCAGTCAATTAGTCAGTCAGTCAGTCACTCAGTCAGTCAGTCAATTAGTCACTCAGTCAGTCAGTCACTCACTCAGTCACTCAGTCAGTCACTCACTCACTCAGTCACTCAGTCAGTCACTCACTCAGTCACTCAGTCAGCCACTCAGTCAGTCAATTAGTCACTCAGTCAGTCAGTCACTCAGTCAGTCAGTCACACAGTCACTCAGTCAGTCACACAGTCACTCAGTCAGTCACTCAGTCAGTGACTCAGTCATTCACTCAGTTACTCACACAGTCAGTCAGTCACTCACACAGTCACTCAGTCAGTCAGTCAGTCACTCAGTCAGTCACCCACTCAGTCACTCACTCAGTCACTCACACAGTGACCCACTCAGTCACCTGGGTCTTGGAGTCTGGGCGTAGCCAGGGCAGTGATCCATCGCGACGTAGCTGCGCCATTCGAGCGTTGAGCGAGTGAGCCAGTCAGTCAATTAGTCAGTCAGTCAGTCACTCAGTCAGTCAGTCAATTAGTCACTCAGTCAGTCAGTCACTCACTCAGTCACTCAGTCAGTCACTCACTCACTCAGTCACTCAGTCAGTCACTCACTCAGTCACTCAGTCAGCCACTCAGTCAGTCAATTAGTCACTCAGTCAGTCAGTCACTCAGTCAGTCAGTCACACAGTCACTCAGTCAGTCACACAGTCACTCAGTCAGTCACTCAGTCAGTGACTCAGTCATTCACTCAGTTACTCACACAGTCAGTCAGTCACTCACACAGTCACTCAGTCAGTCAGTCAGTCACTCAGTCAGTCACCCACTCAGTCACTCACTCAGTCACTCACACAGTGACCCACTCAGTCACCTGGGTCTTGGAGTCTGGGCGTAGCCAGGGCAGTGATCCATCGCGACGTAGCTGCGCCATTCGAGCGTTGAGCGAGTGAGCCAGTCAGTCACTCAGTCACTCAGTCAGTCACTCAGTCACTCAGTGAGTCACTCAGTCACCCACTCAGTCACCTGGGTCTTGGAGTCTGGGCGGAGCCAGGGCAGTGATCCATCGCGACGTAGCTGCGCCATTCGAGCGTTGAGCGAGTGAGCCAGTCAGTCAGTCAATTAGTCACTCAGTCACTCACTCAGTCACTCAGTCAGTCACTCAGTCAGTCACTCAGTCAGTCACTCACTCAGTCACTCACTCAGTCACTCAGTCAGCCACTCAGTCAGCCACTCAGTCAGTCAATTAGTCACTCAGTCAGTCACTCACTCAGTCACCCACTCAGTGAGTCACCTGGGTCTTGGAGTCTGGGCGGAGCCAGGGCAGTGATCCATCGCGACGTAGCTGCGCCATTCGAGCGTTGAGCGAGTGAGCCAGTCAGTCACTCAGTCACTCAATTAGTCACTCAGTCACTCACACAGTCACTCAGTCAGTCACTCAGTCAGTCACTCAGTCAGTCAGTCAGTCACCCAGTCAGTGAGTCAGTCAGTGAGTCACCTGGGTCTTGGAGTCTGGGCGTAGCCAGGGCAGTGATCCATCGCGACGTAGCTGCGCCATTCGAGCGTTGAGCGAGTGAGCCAGTCAGTCACTCAGTCACTCACTCAGTCACTCACACAGTCACTCACACAGTCACTCACTCAGTCACTCAGTCAGTCACTCAGTTACTCACTCAGTTACTCACTCAGTTACTCACTCAGTTACTCAGTCACTCACTCAGTCACTCAGTGAGTCACTCACCCAGTCACTCAGTCAGTCAGTGAGTCACCTGGGTCTTGGAGTCTGGGCGTAGCCAGGGCAGTGATCCATCGCGACGTAGCTGCGCCATCCGAGCGTTGAGCGAGTGAGCCAGTGACACCGTCAGCGGCATCAGCTCCTCAGTCTCGTCCGTGGCGTAGCCAAACATCAAACCCTGGGGGGCAGGGGGGGCAGGGGGGGGGAGCCGCTCACCAGCTCGCTCACCAGCTCGCTCACCAGCTTGCTCAACCACTCACTCACCCACCCACTCACTCACTCACCCACCCACCCATTCACCCACCCACCCACCCACTCACTCACCCACTCACCCCCCCACCAACGCACCCACCCACTCACCTACCCACTCACCCACCCACCCACTCACTAACCCACTGACTCACCCACTCACTCACCCACCCACTCACTCACCCACCCACTAACCCACCCACCCACTAACCCACCCACCCACTAACTCACCCACCCACCAACGCACCCAGCCACTCACCCACCCACCCACTCACTCACTAACCCACTCACCCACACACCCACCCACCCCCCCACCCACTCACTCACTCACCAATCACTCACCCACACACCCACTAACCCACTCACTCACTCACCCCCCCACTCACCCACCCACCCACTCACCCACTCACCCACTCACCCACCCCCCCCACTAACCCACCCACCCACCAACCCCCCCACTAACCCCCCACCTGATCTCCAGCCCCAATGTCGAGCTCCGAGCGATGTTGGTGAACCCCGAGGGCAATGTCCGGTGACTGCTGCTCCAAGGCCACCAGAACATTACAGGTCTTGTAGTCAAAGCCTGCAGTCAACAACAACAACAACAACTATTACAACAACTACTACTACAACAACAATTACAACTACTACAACAATTACTACAACAACTACAACAACAACTACAACAACTACTACAACCACTACAACTACTACAACAACCAGAACATTACAGGTCTTGTAGTCAAAGCCTGCAGTCAACAACAACAACAACAACTACAACAACTACTACAACAACTACAACAACAACTACTACAACAACAACTACAACAACAACTACAACTATTACAACAACTACAACAACTATTACAACAACAACTACTACAACAACAACAACTACAACAACCAGAACATTACAGGTCTTGTAGTCAAAGCCTGCAGTCAACAACAACAATAACAACTACAACAACAACTACTACAACTACAATAACAACAACAACTACAACAACAACTACAACAACAACAACTACAACTATTACAACAACTACTACAACAACCAGAACATTACAGGTCTTGTAGTCAAAGCCTGCAGTCAACAACAACAACAACAACTACTACAACAACTACAACAACAATTACAACAACTACTACAACAACAACAACAACTACTACAACAACTACTCCAACAACAACTACTACAACAACCAGAACATTACAGGTCTTGTAGTCAAAGCCTGCAGTCAACAACAACAACAACAACTACAACAACAACTACAACAACAACTACAACAACAATTACAACAACTACTACAACTACAACAACTACTACAACAACAACAACTACAACAACAACAACTACAACAACTACAACAACAACAACTACAACAACAACTATTACAACAACTACAACAACTACTACAACTACAACAACTACAACTACAACAACAACAACTACAACAACTACTACAACAACAACTACTACAACAACTATTACAACAACTACTACTACAACAACAACTACAACAACAACTACTACAACAACAACTACAACAACAACTACAACAACAACAACAACAACTACAACAACAACTATTACAACAACTACTACTACTACAACTACAACAACTACAACTACAACAACAACTACAACAACAACAACAACTACTACTACAACAACAACTACAACAACAACAACAACTACAACTACTACAACAACTACTACAACAACAACAACAACAACTACTACTACTACAACAACTACTGTCACAACAACAACTATTACAACAACAACAACAACTACAACAACCAGAACATTACAGGTCTTGTAGTCAAAGCCTGCAGTCAACAACAACAACTATTACAACAACAACAACAACAATTACAACAACAACTACAACAACAACAACTACTGTCAACTACTACAACAACAACAACTACTGTCAACTACTACAACAACAACAACTACAACAACTACTACAACAACTACAACAACAACAACTATTACAACAACTACTACTACAACAACAACTACTACAACAACAACTACAACAACAACAACTACAACAACAACTACAACAACAACAACTACTACAACAACAACTACTACAACAACAACTACAACAACAACAACTACAACAACAACTACAACAACTACTACTACAACAACAACTACTACAACAACAACTACAACAACAACTACTACAACAACAACTACAACAACAACAACTACTACTACTACTACAACAACAACAACTACTACAACAACAACTACTACAACAACCAGAACATTACAGGTCTTGTAGTCAAAGCCTGCAGTCAACAACAACAACAACTACTACAACAACTACAACAACTACTACAACAACAACAACTACAACAACTACAACAACAACAACTATTACAACAACAACAACAATTACAACTACAACAACAACAACAACTACAACAACAACTACAACAACTATTACAACAACTACAACAACTATTACAACAACAACTACTACAACAACAACTACTACAACAACAACAACAACTATTACAACAACTACAACAACTACAACTACTACAACAACTACAACAACAACAACTACAACAACTACAACTACTACAACAACTACAACAACAACTACTACAACAACTACTACAACTATTACAACAACAACAACTACAACAACTACTACAACAACCAGAACATTACAGGTCTTGTAGTCAAAGCCTGCAGTCAACAACAACAACAACTATTACAACAACTACAACAACAACAACAACTATTACAACAACTACAACAACAACAACTACAACAACTACTACAACAACTACAACAACAACTACAACAACAACTACTACTACAACAACTACAACAACAACTACTACAACAACAACTACTACAACAACAACAATTACTACAACAACAACTACAACTACTACAACTACAACAACTACTACAACAACTACAACAACAACAACAACTACAACTACTACAACAACCAGAACATTACAGGTCTTGTAGTCAAAGCCTGCAGTCAACAACAACAACAACAATTACAACAACAACTACAACAACAACAATTACAACAACTACTACAACTACAACAACAACAATTACAACAACTACAACTACTACAACTACTACTACAACAACAACTACAACAACAATAACAACAACAATTACAACAACAACAACAACTACAACTACTACAACAACAACTACAACTACAACAACTACTACAACAACCAGAACATTACAGGTCTTGTAGTCAAAGCCTGCAGTCAACAACAACAACAACAATAACAACAACAATTACAACAACTACAACAACAATTACAACAACAACAATTACAACAACAACAACAATTACAACAACAACAACTACAACAACAACAACAATTACAACAACTACTACAACTACAACAACAACTACAACAACTACAACAACAACAACTACTACAACAACAACAATTACAACAACAACTACAACTACAACAACAACTACAACAACTACAACAACAACAACTACTACAACAACAACTACAACAACAACTACAACAACAACAACTACAACAACTACTACAACAACAACTACAACTACAACTACAACAACTACTACAACAACTACAACTACTACAACTACTACAACAACAACTACTACAACAACTACAACAACTACTACAACAACAACTACTACAACAACAACAACTACAACAACAACAACAACAACTACTGTCACAACAACAACTACAACAACAACAACAATTACAACAACTACTACAACTACAACAACAACTACTACAACTACAACAACAACTACTACAACTACAACAACAACTACTACTACAACAACAACAACTACTACAACAACAACTACAACAACAACTACAACAACTACAACAACAACAACTACTACAACAACAACAACAACTACAACAACAACAACTACAACTACAACAACTACTACAACAACAACTACAACTACAACTACTACTACAACAACTACAACAACTACTACAACAACAACTACTACAACAACAACAACTACAACAACAACAACAACAACTACTGTCACAACAACAACTACAACAACAACAACAATTACAACAACTACTACAACTACAACAACAACTACTACAACTACAACAACAACTACTACAACTACAACAACTACTACTACAACAACTACAACAACTACTACAACAACAACTACTACAACAACAACTACAACAACTACAACAACAACAACTACTACAACAACAACAACAACTACAACAACAACAACTACAACTACAACAACTACTACAACAACAACTACAACTACAACTACTACTACAACAACTACAACAACTACTACAACAACAACTACTACAACAACAACAACTACAACAACAACAACAACTACTGTCACAACAACAACAACAACTACAACAACAACTACTACAACTACTACAACAACTACTACAACAACAACTACAACAACTACTACAACAACAACTACAACAACTACTACAACAACAACTACTACAACAACCAGAACATTACAGGTCTTGTAGTCAAAGCCTGCAGTCAACAACAACAACAACAACAACTACAACAACTACAACAACTATTACAACAACTACAACAACTATTACAACAACAACTACTACAACAACAACAACAACAACTATTACAACAACTACAACAACTACAACTACTACAACAACTACAACAACAACTACTACAACAACTACTACAACAACAACTACAACAACCAGAACATTACAGGTCTTGTAGTCAAAGCCTGCAGTCAACAACAACAATAACAACTATTACAACAACAACTACTACAACAACAACTACAACAACTACTACAACAACAACTACTACAACAACAACTATTACAACAACAACTACAACAACAACTACTACAACAACTACTACAACAACAACTACTACAACAACAACTACAACAACAACTACAACAACAACTACAACAACAACTACAACAACAACAACAACAACAACTACTACAACAACTACAACAACAACTACTACAACAACCAGAACATTACAGGTCTTGTAGTCAAAGCCTGCAGTCAACAACAACAACAACTACAACAACTACAACAACTACAACAACTACAACAACTACTACAACAACTACAACAACAACAACTACAACAACAACAACTACAACAACTACAACTACAACAACAACAACAACTATTACAACAACTACAACTACAACTACTACAACTACTACAACAACCAGAACATTACAGGTCTTGTAGTCAAAGCCTGCAGTCAACAACAACAACAACAATTACAACAACAACTACAACTATTACAACAACAACTACAACAACAACAACTACAACTACTACAACAACTATTACAACAACAACTACTACAACAACTACTACAACAACTACTACAACAACTATTACAACAACTATTACAACAACAACTACAACAACTACTACAACAACTACTACAACAACTATTACAACAACAACTACTACAACAACTACTGTCACAACAACAACTACTACTACAACAACTACTACAACAACAACAACTACTGTCACAACAACAACAACAACAACTACTACAACAACTACTACAACAACAACTACAACAACAACTACTACCACAACAACAACTACAACAACAACTACTACAACTACAACAACTACTACAACAACTACAAAACAACAATTACAACAACTACTGTCACAACAACAATTACAACAACAACAACTACTGTCAACAACAACTACAACAACAACAACAGTCACAACAACAACTACAACAACAACTACAACAACTACTACTACAACAACTACTGTCACAACAACTACAACTACAACAACTACTACTACCAGCAGCCATTACGTTGCAAGTCTTGTAGTGATTGTAGTGGTGGTGAGCGTGGTGGTGGTGAGCGTGGTGGTGGTGAGCGTGGTGATGGTGGTGGTGGTGAGCGTGGTGATGGTGGTGGTGGTGGTGATGGTGGTGATGGTGGTGGTGGTGGTGATGGTGGTGGTGGTGAGCGTGGTGGTGGTGGTGGTAGTGGTGAGCGTGGTGGTGGTGAGCGTGGTGGTGGTGATGATGGTGATGGTGGTGGTGGTGATGGTGGTGATGGTGGTGATGGTGGTGATGGTGATGGTGGTGATGGTGGTGATGGTGGTGGTGGTGGTGAGCGTGGTGGTGGTGGTGATGGTGATGGTGGTGGTGGTGATGGTGGTGATGGTGAGCGTGGTGGTGGTGGTGGTGAGCGTGGTGGTGGTGGTGAGCGTGGTGGTGATGGTGGTGGTGGTGGTGAGCGTGGTGATGGTGGTGGTGAGTGTGGTGGTGGTGGTGAGCGTGGTGGTGGTGGTGGTGGTGAGCGTCTGCTCACCCTTTGAGGAGTCGTCATATCCGATGCTCCTCACCGTCTCCCTCACCACTCGCTGGTAGTCAACCACAGCACTGGAGGTGATCTCCCCACACAGCAGCACCATACCAGTCTTCGCTACGCATTCTAATAGCCACGCAGGGTAGAAAACGTACAGCACATTAGCATGGGGTGGTCACCATACCGGTCTTCGCTACGCATTCTAATAGCCACGTGGGGTAGAAAACGTACAGCACATTAGCATGGGTGGGAGTCACCCATACCGGTCTTCGCTACGCATTCTAATAGCCACGCGGGGTAGAAAACGTAGAGCACATTAGCATGGGGGGGGAGTCACCATACCAGTCTTTGCTACGCATTCTAATAGCCACGCAGGGTAGAAAACGTACAGCACATTAGCATGGGGGCGGTCACCATACCGGTCTTCGCTACGCATTCTAATAGCCACGCGGGGTAGAAATCGTAGAGCACATTAGCATGGGGTGGTCACCCATACCGGTCTTCGCTACGCATTCTAATAGCCACCCGGGGTAGAAAACGTAGAGCACATTAGCATGGGGGGGAATCACCATACCGGTCTTCGCTACGCATTCTAATAGCCACGCAGGGTAGAAATCACACAGCACATTAGCATGGGGGCAGTCACCCATACCAGTCTTGGTGAGTGTAGTGGTGAGTGTAGTGGTGAGTGTAGTGGTGAGTGTAGTGGTGAGTGTAGTGGTGAGTGTAGTGGTGAGTAGTAGTAGTGGTGAGTAGTGGTGAGTGTAGTGGTGAGTGTAGTGGTGAGTGTAGTGGTGAGTAGTGAGTGGTGAGTAGTAGTGGTGAGTGTAGTGGTGAGTGTAGTGGTGAGTGTAGTGGTGAGTGTAGTGGTGAGTAGTGAGTGGTGAGTCTAGTGGTGAGTGTAGTGGTGAGTAGTGAGTGTAGTGGTGAGTAGTAGTGAGTAGTGAGTGGTGAGTGTTATCAGTGAGTGTAGTAGTAGTAGTAGTGAGTGTAGTGGTGAGTGTAGTGGTGAGTAGTGGTGAGTGTAGTGGTGAGTAGTGGTGAGTAGTGGTGAGTGTAGTAGTGGTGTCATGGTGAGTGTTATCAGTGAGTGTTAGTGGTAAGTAGTAAGTGGTGAGTGTTATCAGTGAGTGTAGTAGTGTTAGTGGTGAGTGGTGAGTAGTGAGTGGTGAGTGTTATCAGTGAGTAGTAAGTAGTGAGTGGTGAGTGTTAGTGGTGAGTAGTAAGTGGTGAGTGTTATCAGTGAGTAGTGAGTAGTGAGTGGTGAGTGTAGTGAGTGGTAAGTAGTAAGTGGTGAGTGTAGTGATGGTGAGTAGTGGTGAGTGTAGTGGTGAGTGGTGAGTGTAGTAGTGGTGAGTGTTAGTGGCAAGTAGTAAGTGGTGAGTGTTAGTGGTGAGTGTAGTGAGTGGTAAGTAGTAAGTGGTGAGTGTTAGTGGTGAGTGTAGTAGTGAGTGGTGAGTAGTAGTGGTGAGTGTAGTGGTGAGTATAGTGATGGTGAGTGTAGTGAGTAGTGGTGAGTGTTATCAGTGAGTGCTAGTGGTAAGTAGTAAGTGGTGAGTGTTAGTGGTGAGTGTAGTGAGTGGTAAGTAGTAAGTGGTGAGTGTTAGTGGTGAGTAGTAGTAAGTGGTGAGTGTAGTGAGTGTAGTGGTGAGTGATGGTGAGTGGTGAGTGTTAGTGGTGAGTAGTGAGTGGTGAGTAGTGGTGAGTAGTAGTGAGTGTAGTGGTGAGTGTAGTGGTGAGTGTAGTGAGTAGTAAGTGGTGAGTGGTGAGTAGTAAGTGGTGAGTGTTAGTGGTGAGTGTAGTGAGTAGTGGTGAGTGTTATCAGTAAGTAGTAGTAAGTGGTGAGTGTAGTAGTGGTGAGTGTAGTAGTGGTAAGTAGTAAGTGGTGAGTAGTAAGTGGTGAGTGTAGTGGTGAGTAGTAAGTGGTGAGTGTTAGTGGTGAGTAGTGGTGAGTGTAGTGGTGAGTGATGGTGAGTGTAGTGGTGAGTAGTAAGTGGTGAGTGTTATCAGTGAGTGTAGTAGTGTAGTAGTGGTTAGTAGTAAGTGGTGAGTGTTAGTGGTGAGTAATGGTGAGTAGTGAGTGGTGAGTAGTAAGTGGTGAGTAGTGGTGAGTGTTAGTGGTTAGTAGTAAGTGGTGAGTGTTATCAGTGAGTGTAGTAGTGGTGAGTGTAGTGATGGTGAGTAGTAGTGAGTGGTGAGTGTAGTGGTGAGTAGTAAGTGGTGAGTAGTGGTGAGTGTTATCAGTAAGTAGTAAGTGGTGAGTGTAGTGATGGTGAGTAGTGGTGAGTGTTATCAGTAAGTAGTAAGTGGTGAGTGTAGTGATGGTGAGTAGTGGTGAGTAGTAAGTGGTGAGTGTAGTGAGTAGTGGTGAGTGTTATCAGTAAGTAGTAAGTGGTGAGTGTTAGTGGTGAGTGTTAGTGGTGAGTGTTAGTGGTGAGTGTAGTGAGTAGTGGTGAGTGTTAGTGGTGAGTAGTAAGTGGTGAGTGTTAGTGGTGAGTGTTAGTGGTGAGTGTTAGTGGTGAGTGTAGTGAGTAGTGGTGAGTGTTAGTGGTAAGTAGTAAGTGGTGAGTGTAGTGGTGAGTGTTATCAGTGAGTGGTGAGTTATCAGTGAGTGTAGTGGTGAGTGTAATGGTGAGTGTTAGTGGTAAGTAGTAAGTGGTGAGTGGTGAGTAGTAGTAAGTGGTGAGTGTAGTGAGTGTAGTGGTGAGTGTAGTGATGGTAAGTAATGGTGAGTGTTATCAGTAAGTAGTAAGTGGTGAGTGTAGTGAGTGTAGTGGTGAGTGATGGTGAGTAGTGGTGAGTGGTGAGTAGTAAGTGGTGAGTGGTGAGTAGTAGTAAGTGGTGAGTGTAGTGAGTGTAGTGGTGAGTGTAGTGATGGTAAGTAATGGTGAGTGTTATCAGTAAGTAGTAAGTGGTGAGTGGTGAGTAGTAGTAAGTGGTGAGTGTAGTGAGTGTAGTGGTGAGTGTAGTGATGGTAAGTAATGGTGAGTGTTATCAGTAAGTAGTAAGTGGTGAGTGTAGTGAGTGTAGTGGTGAGTGATGGTGAGTAGTGGTGAGTGTTAGTAGTGAGTAGTAAGTGGTGAGTGTAGTAGTGGTTAGTAGTAAGTGGTGAGTGTTAGTGGTGAGTAGTGGTGAGTGTAGTGGTAAGTGGTGAGTGGTGAGTGTTAGTGGTGAGTGATGGTGAGTGTAGTGAGTGGTAAGTGGTGAGTGTTAGTGGTGAGTGTAGTGGTGAGTGGTAAGTGGTGAGTGTTAGTGGTGAGTGTTATCAGTAAGTGGTGAGTGTAGTGGTGAGTGTAGTAGTGGTGAGTAGTAGTGAGTGGTAAGTAGTAAGTGGTGAGTAGTAGTGAGTGGTGAGTGTAGTGAGTGTAGTGGTGAGTGATGGTGAGTGTTATCAGTAAGTAGTAAGTGGTGAGTGTAGTAGTGGTGAGTGTTAGTGGTGAGTAGTGGTGAGTGTAGTAGTGGTGAGTAGTGAGTGGTGAGTAGTGGTGAGTGTTAGTGGTGAGTAGTGAGTGTAGTAGTGGTGAGTAGTGAGTGGTGAGTAGTGGTGAGTAGTAAGTGGTGAGTGTAGTGGTGAGTAGTAAGTGGTGAGTGTTAGTGGCGAGTGTTATCAGTAAGTAGTAAGTGGTGAGTGTAGTGATGGTGAGTAGTGGTGAGTGTTAGTGGTGAGTGTTAGTGGTGAGTGTAGTGGTGAGTGTTAGTGGTGAGTAGTGTAGTGGCGAGTAGTGGTGAGTGTAGTGAGTGGTGAGTGTTAGTGGTGAACTGACCACAGGCGACCTTTGCATTTGGGTCCTGCTTGAGGTGGGCGTCCAGAACGGCGTCGCTGATCTGGTCACAGATCTTGTCTGGTGCAGAGAGACACACACAGAGAGACACACAGAGAGACAGAGAGACACACAGAGAGACAGAGAGACACACAGAGAGACAGACACAGTGATACATAAAGAGACAGATAGAGATAGACAGATAGAGAGAGAGAGACACACAGAGAGACACACACAGAGAGACAGAGAGACACACACAGAGAGACACACAGAGAGAGAGACAGATAGAGAGACAGAGAGACACACACAGAGAGACAGATAGAGAGACAGAGAGACACACAGAGAGACAGAGAGACACACAGAGAGACAGACACAGTGATACATAAAGAGACAGATAGAGATAGACAGATAGAGAGAGAGAGACACACAGAGAGACACACACAGAGAGACAGAGAGACACACACAGAGAGACACACAGAGAGAGAGACAGATAGAGAGACAGAGAGACACACACAGAGAGACAGATAGAGAGACAGAGAGACACACACAGAGAGACACACAGAGAGACAGAGAGACACACAGAGAGACACACACAGAGAGACAGATAGAGACACAGTGAGAGACACACACACAGAGAGACAGATAGAGAGACAGAGAGACACACACAGAGAGACAGATAGAGAGACAGAGAGACACACACAGAGAGACAGAGACACACAGAGAGACAGACACAGTGATACATAAAGAGACAGATAGAGATAGACAGATAGAGAGAGAGACACACAGAGAGACACACACAGAGAGACAGAGAGACACACACAGAGAGACACACAGAGAGAGAGACAGATAGAGAGACAGAGAGACACACACAGAGAGACAGATAGAGAGACAGAGAGACACACACAGAGAGACAGAGACACACAGAGAGATAGACACAGTGATACATAAAGAGACAGATAGAGATAGACAGATAGAGAGAGAGACACACAGAGAGACACACACAGAGAGACAGAGAGACACACACAGAGAGACACACAGAGAGAGAGACAGATAGAGAGACAGAGAGACACACACAGAGAGACAGAGAGAGACACAGTGAGAGACACACACAGAGACACAGAGAGAGACACGGAGAGAGAGAGAGAGACAGGGAGACAGATAGAGAGACAGATAGAGACAGATAGAGAGATAGAGAGATACATAGAGAGACAGATAGAGATAGACAGATAGAGAGATAGACAGAGAGAGAGACAGAGAGAGAGACAGAGAGAGAGACAGATAGAGAGACAGATAGAGAGACAGATAGAGAGAGAGACAGAGAGAGACATAAAGAGACAGATAGAGATAGACAGATAGAGAGACAGATAGAGAGACAGATAGAGAGACAGATAGAGAGACAGAGAGATACATAGAGAGACAGATAGAGATAGACAGATAGAGAGAGAGACAGAGAGAGACAGAGAGAGACATAAAGAGACAGATAGAGAGAGAGACAGAGAGATACATAAAGAGACAGATAGAGAGACAGAGACAGAGAGAGAGACAGAGACAGATAGAGAGACAGATAGAGAGACAGATAGAGAGACAGATAGAGAGACAGATAGAGAGACAGATAGAGAGACAGATAGAGAGACAGATAGAGAGACAGAGATACACGGAGAGAGAGAGAGACAGAGAGAGAGACAGATAGAGAGACAGAGAGACAGAGACAGATAGAGAGACAGATAGAGAGACAGATAGAGAGACAGATAGAGAGATAGAGAGACAGATAGAGAGACAGATAGAGAGACAGATAGAGAGACAGATAGAGAGACAGATAGAGAGACAGATAGAGAGACAGATAGAGAGACAGATAGAGAGACAGAGACAGAGAGAGAGACAGAGACAGATAGAGAGACAGATAGAGAGACAGATAGAGAGACAGATAGAGAGATAGAGAGACAGATAGAGAGACAGATAGAGAGACAGATAGAGAGACAGATAGAGAGACAGATAGAGAGACAGATAGAGAGACAGATAGAGAGATAGAGAGACAGATAGAGAGACAGATAGAGAGACAGATAGAGAGACAGATAGAGAGACAGATAGAGAGACAGATAGAGAGACAGATAGATAGATAGAGACAGATAGAGAGACAGATAGAGACAGAGAGACAGAGACAGAGAGACAGAGAGAGATACAGAGAGAGAGACAGATAGAGATAGATAGAGAGGGAGAGAGACAGAGAGATAGATAGAGACAGATAGAGAGACAGATAGAGAGACAGATAGAGACAGAGAGAGACAGAGAGAGAGACAGATAGAGAGACAGATAGAGAGACAGAGAGATAGATAGAGACAGATAGAGAGACAGATAGAGAGACAGATAGAGACAGAGAGAGACAGAGAGAGAGACAGATAGAGAGACAGATAGAGAGACAGATAGAGAGACAGATAGAGAGACAGATAGAGACAGAGAGAGACAGAGAGAGAGACAGATAGAGAGACAGATAGAGAGACAGATAGAGAGACAGATAGAGAGACAGAGACAGATAGAGAGAGAGACAGAGACAGATAGAGAGAGAGAGACAGATAGAGAGAGACAGATAGAGAGACAGATAGAGAGACAGATAGAGAGACAGATAGAGAGACAGATAGAGAGACAGAGAGAGAGACAGATAGAGAGACAGATAGAGACAGATAGAGAGACAGATAGAGACAGATAGAGAGACAGATAGAGAGACAGATAGAGAGACAGATAGAGACAGATAGAGACAGATAGAGATAGACAAATAGAGAGAGAGACAGAGAGATACATAGAGACAGATAGAGAGAGACAGATAGAGAGAGACAGATAGAGAGAGACAGATAGAGATAGACAGATAGAGAGACAGAGAGAGACAGAGATAGACACAGTGATACATAGAGATACACGGAGAGAGAGATAGGGAGATAGACAGATAGATAGATAGAGACAGATAGAGAGACAGATAGAGATAGAGAGATAGACAGACAGATAGAGAGACAGATAGAGAGACAGATAGAGAGAGATACATAGAGAGATAGAGAGACAGAGAGAGATAGAGAGATAGACAGACAGATAGAGACAGATAGAGAGAGATACAGAGAGATACACAGAGATACACAGAGAGATAGAGAGACAGATAGAGATACACAGAGAGATAGAGAGACAGATAGAGAGAGATACATAGAGAGATAGAGAGACAGAGAGAGATAGAGAGATAGACAGACAGATAGAGACAGATAGAGAGAGATAGAGACAGACAGAGATAGACACAGAGAGAGACAGAGAGAGACACAGATAGAGACAGATAGACAGAGAGAGACAGAGAGAGACAGAGAGATAGACAGAGAGACAGATAGACAGAGACAGATAGAGAGAGATAGAGAGACATAGATAGACAGATAGAGACATAGATAGACAGATAGAGACAGACACAGACAGACAGAGACAGACAGAGACAGACACAGACAGACAGACAGAGACAGATAGACAGACAGAGACAGACAGAGACAGATAGACAGACAGAGACAGACAGACAGATATAGAGACAGAGAGAGACAGATATAGAGACAGAGACACAGAGAGAGACAGACAGAGACAGATAGAGAGACAGATATAGAGACAGAGACACAGAGAGAGACAGACAGAGACAGATAGAGAGAGACAGATATAGAGACAGAGACACAGAGAGAGACAGACAGATAGACAGATAGACAGAGAGAGAGAGACAGACAGAGACAGACAGATATAGAGACAGAGAGACAGACAGAGACAGAGTGAGAGACAGAGATAGAGAGACAGATAGAGAGAGACAGAGTGAGAGACAGATAGAGAGAGACAGATAGACAGAGACAGAGTGAGAGACAGAGATAGAGAGACAGATAGAGAGAGACAGATAGACAGAGACAGAGTGAGAGACAGACAGACAGAGACAGACAGAGAGACAGACAGAGACAGATAGACAGACAGATAGAGACAGACAGACAGAGAGACAGAGAGAGACAGAGAGACACAGAGAGAGAGAGAGAGACAGACAGAGAGAGAGAGAGACAGACAGATAGAGACAGAGACACAGATAGAGATAGACAGAGACAGACAGACAGAGAGAGACAGAGAGACAGACAGAGACAGATAGACAGACAGATAGAGACAGAGACACAGATAGAGACAGACAGAGACAGATAGACAGACAGATAGAGACAGAGAGACAGACAGAGAGACAGAGACAGACACAGATAGACAGACAGAGACAGATAGACAGACAGAGACTTTGACTTATTAACAACTTTTACTGCTACCAGCAGTAAAAGCACAGGAGGTGATTTCGATATGAATTTATAAACAAATTAAAATAATCGCGCTAGAGGGAGTGAGTGAAGTTCATTGTGATGCAAACTGCTACCGCGATGCAACCAATGCTGGTTACATCAACACAGCTACAGACAAAGCTACCCCCAGGTAGCCTCTAGCAGGGCTGTAGGGGCAAGTGCTGTTACATCAACACAGCTACAGACAAAGCTACCCCCAGGTAGCCTCTAGCCGGGCTGTAGGGGCAAGTGCTGTTACATCAACACAGCTACAGACAAAGCTACCCCCAGGTAGCCTCTAGCAGGGCTGAGGGGCAAGTGCTGTTACATCAACACAGCTACAGACAAAGCTACCCCCAGGTAGCCTCTAGCTGGTTGTAGGGGCAAGTGCTGGTTACATCAACACAGCTACAGACAAAGCTACCCACAGGTAGCCTCTAGCAGGGCTGTAGGGGCAAGTGCTGTTACACAGCTAGAGACAAAGCCACCCCCAGGTAGCCTCTAGCAGGGCTGTAGGGGCAAGTGCTGGTTACATCAACACAGCTACAGACAAAGCCACCCCCAGGTAGCCTCTAGCTGGTTGTAGGGACAAGTGCAGTTACACAGACACAGACAAAGCTACCCCCAGGTAGCCTCTAACTGGTTGTAGGGGCAAGTGCTGTTACATCAACACAGCTACAGACAAAGCTACCCCCAGGTAGCCTCTAGCAGGGCTGCAGGGGCAAGTGCTGGTTACATCAACACAGCTACAGACAAAGCTACCCCCAGGTA